TAATATATAAACAAAGATTTAGCCACAGCAAAAAAACATGTAGCAACTCATATGTATCTAGTATTAGGCTTTAGAAAATAGAGCAGGAATCATGAACCAGAAAGGTAAATTAACAATAGAAGAGAGAATCAAGTACCTACTTTTGTCCCTTAAGTTTCTGAACTACCACTCAAATAACAGAATTAAAAAAAAGTCTCTTCTATCTTTTCAAGGTTAATTAAATGTGCACCAAATAACTGAGGGTACACCAGATAATTTAAAAAAGAAAAACACTTCAATTTAGCCTACTTGGAAGGAAAGATATGATATATAAGCAGAAAATAACATGTTGGATAGTTGGTAATATCTCCGATAATATGCTCTTAGGTACACTTTTCCAAAGAGCAAAATTACAAATTGTGATAGATGTGGAAAATGGTTAAACTATTGTTACTGTGAATAAGCACAACAAATTGCATTAACAGATTTAGTCTTACATGAAATGAATTACCTGGTTAAAGAACATTCTCTTACTACTTTATATAAAAACTGTCAGTAATCAAGAAAAGATTACTTCTGGAAAAGCACAGCTATTTTACATTTAAAAAAAAATCTTCCACCTATACACTAAAACAAAGCTTCTTATTTAAAAGTAGGCCACTTAATACAGCACCAAAAAGTAAGATGCTTAGGAATAAAGCTCTCCAAAATAACTATAAAACTTATTAAAACATGCTTAATAGCAAGAAACCAAAATAAACACACGTATCATGTTCATAGAAGACTCAGTATCATACTTATCAATTCTCTTTAAATTCAACGCAACTAAATCCAAAGCTCAACAGCATTTATTCACGGACATCAACAAATTGATTCTAAAATTTATATGGAAAAGGAAGGAGCTAAGAATAGAGAACGTTTAAACTCTTAAATTTTCCAAACATAATAAAAAGCAGAGTAATCTCATGAAGCCCTCTACTTTATCAACCAGATTCCATGATGACCAATATTTTGCCATGCTTATTTCATTCATTTATCCTCTTTTGTTGGCTAAAATATTTTAAAACAAATCTCAGACTTCATGTCATTTCATCCCTATATACTTAAGTAAGCATCTCTAAAACATGGACATTTTTATCTAACCATAATGCCATTTTCACATCTAACAAAATTAACAATAATGCCACAGTAGTACCTAATGCCTATTCAAATGTTCCTGTTTCAAATTTCCCAACTGGCTTAGAGTAGCCAAGACCATTTTGAAGAAGAAAAACAAGACACGTGGGACTTAACAGATTAAGGCTTCTTATAAAGCAATAGTAATGAAAGACGCTATAGTATTTCAGCAAGGAGGGGGGAAAAAAACCAATCACTGGAATAGATAGTGTGCTCAGAAATGGACCCAAATATAGGAACTTGGCATTACAAGTACATGGGGAATTTGGCATTACAACTCACTGAGAAAAGGACAGACAACCAATAGTAGTCTATAGTAATCTATTGGGACAGCTAGGGAAAAAATATTGGATCCTCATATCTTACAACACAGAAAAAAATTAGTTACAGATGGAATAAAGACCTACATGTTAAAATCAATACTCTTCAACTTTTAGAAGAAAATACAGGACATATCTTTATTATCTGGAAATAGGAAAGCACAGAAAAAGGAAACCTATAAAGGGAAAAAATTAACTTCAACCATATTAAAATTTAACTTTCAGTGCCTCAAAAGATACCATAAATAAACAAAAAAGCCTAGCCAAACACTGGGAGATGATATCTGCAATGTATATTTCTGACAAAGGATCAATATCCAGAATATATAAAGAACTTCAACAAATCAACAGGAAGAAAAAAATGTAAGCCACCCAACAGAAAAACAGATAGGAGAAAAATCTAAGCAGCCAGTAAGTCTACAAAAAGATGATCAACCTCACTAGTAATTAAAGTTAACTGAAACAGG